GTTTTCCGAGCCATAGCTCTCCCCATACCCAAGTCCCTCCTCAGGGGTCCCTGAACTCAACGGGCATCTTCCCCTGGACTTGGCATCAGGCCCATTAGCCTTGCTTCCTTTGTGATGCCCACAGAAACCAACCCAGCCTGAACACGGTAAAATCTTCCAAGATCCGATTTCCTCCGAGCTTCCCCATGTGCTCTGCCTTCTCTGGTTTTGCCTACTGGCTATGAACCCTTCGTTTTCATTTTGCATCTTGAACCGCCCACCATGCGTGCTTGGGATGTTTCAAGGGACAAATCCTGCCCACCTTCTCTGTGCATCTTCTTTGCAAGACACAAAGCTACTGTATGTTTTATGCAACCTTTAACTATTACTCAGGCATAAGCTGTAGCAACATGGACACGAACTGCTTTCTCAAGCCAAGCTTTTCAAACCAGACTTGTAGCATGGACACAAACACATTTACACCACTAATCTGCCTGTAGACCAATGTAAATGTGGAGGAGACGGATGCACAGTGTGCAGTCTTGCACAAGTGTAAGTCACTCCATTCTGGGGCAAAGCTACCACCCAGAAAGCTGAGAGTAAGTCTGTCGTTTGATATCTAGACAGCATGGAAGGGAGGCCCAACAAGTCCCTACTGCTCGCAGGCAGTGAAATCTCTATTCTACTGATAGTACGGCAGAGGGATATTTATATCACTTCACCGCTTCATAACCATTGGAATGAATCTTCTATCCACTGAATACAATGCCTGGGATAATAAGATAATAACCCTGCAATAAACTGTGAAGAGCTTTGCAACCAGTTTTATGTTCCCATACAATGTGGCACCTAAACTGCAACCACTTCCATTCAATATGCATGTTTTTTCAATTCCCACTGCGCCACATTTTTCACCTAAAATAACTGTGTTGAGACCTCACTTACAACAAGAAATCAATTTTAACGCGGAGGTACTCCCCTGGGGCATCACACGCAACATTAGAATAAGAGGCAGCTAGTGCTTCCGTTCTGCTCCCAAGCGCACTACAAAGAAAGAGCGAGATTCCCGAGTGGATGGGCTGTTTGGATATGAAACAACCGAACTATTTCAGTTGAACCATCGAGTCAGAGGAAGTAGGCTGCTAGGCTTGGCTGGACACAAATGGGAGATTATGTCATGCCCTTTTTTGTTCAAATAGATTGCCAAGCGGTGCTTGGGGGGAGAATCTCTCCTGCTTTGCTACTGCTCCCTGCTGCTCTTGACTGTTGTTGCAAACATTTTAAAATTTAAGATAAAAAAGTGACTCCTTCCCAGTGGAAGAACCTACCCACCATGAACATCAGCATCTGTAAACTGTATGTGCGGGGATGGGCGACCTTCCCTTCCCATTTCCTGGCAAGATCTGAGGCAGCCGGATGTTAAATCACTCATCCATGGTCTAACAGGAAGGTGGTGGGACAGCCAAAACTGAATTTGGGAGCCCAAGCTTGCAGTTTTGTATGGTAACTTTAAAGCATATCTTAATTTAATCCAGTGGGAGCCAATCTTTCTGGTAGGTGTGCCAAAAATTAACCCTGAACCTTCCCCTAGTGCCACTCTGATACCCTTCCCTTACCTGATCTACTGCTCTGCTTTCTGCTCCCTGCCTGGTCTTCAGCTCTGTTTTCTGCTTCCTCTGCCACTGTGCTGCCTGCCCGCTCTCCAATCTACCATGCGCCATGCACACTTGTGGCACCCATGTCGCAGGTTGGCCACCGTTGATCTAATCCACCCAACTATAATCTCTCCCTGGACACTGCTTGCTCCCAGTAAAAAACCTGGAAATCAAGAGGCAGAATTTTTGGCCTGAAATGACTCCTAATAAAGTCCATCACTCCCAGGTCCATATTCCCACTAACTGGTAGGCTGGTAGATTTAGTTCCCCAGCTAATAGGTTCCTGGTACATTTTTCATACCAGGGCTACTAAAGTTGGCAAACTCTCAAAGATGAAAGATAAATGCATTAAGTTTATTATTAAGTTGCAACGGGGTTCGGTTGAGCAGGGAGGAGAATCAGATTCAGCTACCGGGCTGAGACATGGTATTAGGAATGGAAGAGATGGACAAAACTGTGACTCCCTGCAAATCACAATATTGTTCCCGAAGACTGAAAAAAGAAGCACTGTGTGCTGCAACCAAAATGCTTGATGATGCATCTACGCAAGGTGGGAGGCCAAAGCATTTTTTTTTTTTAGGACTGAAACGAGCAAGCATCTCCTCCCCAATCTGAATCCCCACCTTATCAATGGGAATGTAAAGTGTCTCAGCGGATTCCTTGCTTTTGTCCTAATTCAGTCAACACAAACTGTGGCTCTGTTGCTTTAGTATGAACAACATGCATTATGAATGTCTTTGCAATTCACAGGTCACTAGATCTCCTCATGGGATATTTATCAGAGTCCTTTTGCAAAACCCTTGGACTAGCTGGTGTATATTATCTACACTTTATCTTGCTATGTGATCTCCCAACATCCACCCAAGGCAGTTTCTTTTGCTATCTGTTCTTGTCATCTGTGAGGGGAATGCCCTTAAGGGTGCTAAATGCTTGTGTCTGCTGACAATTTATAATGGTAACCTGAACAGGCTGGAAGGAAAAAGAAATACGTATAATGTGGTCATCACAGCTGCGCAATGGGCTGGATCCTCTTCTACTCTAAAAGGGATTAAGCACGTTTCAGCAGCAGAGCATCTGGCCTCATCCAAGCCATGAAAACACCATTTCAAAGCCTACCTTACTGGTACTGCTGTGCTTCCTACCCAGAGACAAGGACTTCACACACACATCCCCCAATTACCACAGGAGATTTTCAAAGCTATCGCTTCACTGGTTTTTATGGTTACTCTTCATTTGCATACTTCATTTACATGCAGGGCCTCACTGACATCATGAGGTTTTGCTGACATCATGGCAACAACTGCACAAGGTGGACCAAGCCACACGATCATAGCTGTGTGTGCTCCAGTGACCGAATTCAATGGAGGACGTACAGGATGAAGTTTTCTGGCCTCCGTTACATGGAAGGTCAACCCAGATGCTTGCAACAGTCCAGACAGATTCTAAATTATCCCCCCCGAGCATGAGATATGAGCTCAGGTGACTTCTTTGCTGACTTTTTCTCCTTCAACTGCATACTGGTGGCATGAAAAGGGTCCTTTTTCAGGAGACTGAACCAGACAGTGGACAGAGATTGCCTAAGGTCCTAGCTAAACTGTAACTTCTGTATTGCATCAGTCCTCCAACAACAGGATAGTGCCTTTATGAAGCTATTAAAGATCAATCCTGCAGTGTACGTGGCATTAAATGTTTCTGTACGCATGTCTCCAAGAGAATTTAACTTCAGGAGTGTAGCGCGGTTCAGGCACACAGCTGAAACACAGTTTGGCTGCAAGATAAAAATGGTACTTTAAATTGCACCCAGGGAAAGAGTGCCCTGTCTGAATTCTGCAGAGTTTTACAAATTTATTAACTGCACTTATTGGATTACGTGACTGGCCAGCCATGAAGATGCTGCCATATAATCAATTGCCAGTTGGTAATCCAGCTTGACTTTCCTTGGCTGGGAATTTCCAGTTCATATTAAAAATGTAGTTACACTCTCCCTAAGGTGGTTTTAATGGATTATTTGCACTGTCTAGGTGGCTATACTCACTTGGCCTTTGGCCTCTGGCTTTGTATAGCTACATGGAATCTGCTGTAGTTGACCACAGACAGATACTTGTGGTACAGAGACCCTCAGATATGGCAGTAGGACAGCAAGTGAGAAACATTGGACAGCTACTACACCACGACTATGCAAATTGTTAAAAAGTATAGGAACAACACAGTTAAGCTCAAAAAACACAGCATTAGCTCAAGCCCTCTTCACAAGGCTGAATGAATTCACTGCTGGGACTGAAGTTTGCTGTGCTCAGGATCCCCCCACATGCGAATACTTGAAGCATGTCTAAACAAAGTCTCTTTGGGTCTTTTTTCAGACACTCACTAAGACTCAGGAAAACCAAAGATTACTGTTGATTCTCAACGTCTCACTTTTCAGCTGTCTCACTGGAGATGCCTCAAGGAAGCCTGATTCTCAACAGGCAGGCTGGATGGCACTTTCTGAAAAACAGGCTCTTGGAAGCATCTAACCTCAGACACCCACAATCACAGGTCAGTTCTGAAAATTGTCACCGTTTTCTGCTGCGTAACAACATGAACAGGGTTATCTTGAGTACCAGTGTCCACTAAAACACAGTATATGAATAGCCAACCAGAAAAATGGGCATTGAAAATGTTGCACGATGTGCAAGACGGACGAGTCAACCTGTGTATAACCTGACTGATTTTTCCTTTAACTTTAAACAGTGCAATCTCAAAGTTAATTATTCTTATATTTAAAATACTAAAGACGCCTTTCTAAGGCTATACATGCTTGAACAGAATTAATTGTGCAACAAACAAAATTATATTACAGTTCAGCAGCTTTAAAACCATCAGTTCTACAGGGACCCAGCCTGGCACTCGGTCACCACCTAAGAGGCATGTCATCAAGCTTCTTCCCAGTGCCTCCACCACAGGCATCTCTTTGCAGCATCATAGAGTCACTGAATTTGGACTATTTCAGACCATACAGTCTCTGAGACTTCAGAGCTACCCCTGCCCCCGCTTCCAGCCCCCCAGCCCTTCTCTTCTACTAACAAAGAGAAGGCAGCACCCTGCTGACAACAGCTGCAGCAATAGGCAGAGCAGTGGTCCTTGCGGTAGGGTAGTTCTAGGCAATCTAGGACTTCCTAGGTCATAACTAACTCTGATCTCCCCACTGGGACTGAGTCTGCAGTGACTGGAAATCCCAGCTTTATCACAGTAACATCATGAATTCAAATATTTGTAAATATTTCCAGCTTCTTCAGCATTTCAGATAAGCACGGCATCACTGAATGACATTCCAAGATGGGAAAGGGAAGGGCAGATCAATGGCCCTTTTGGACAGGGCTTGCCTACCTCCGGTCGTTTCTCCTCCGTCTGAACAGCTTCTTGGTGTGTGCAATTTCAGCTTCATGTGGCAATGGATGGTAACCCTGGAGAAAAAGGGAAGGGAAACAACAATGATTACTTCTGGGGCATAGAAGGCAGTGACAGCTAAGTGGTTGGAAGAGAGGATCAGGTTCTGTACTCCACGTGTCAGGAAGGTTGTCGGATAACTGGAGTGGGAAACCAGAAGAGACATCAAATCACAGGCAACTCTGAATGATGCTCCCTGTTTTCCACAATTGATTTTTATGTTACGTTGCAGGATAGAGGTATTCTTTACCCTTTGCGCTTAAGTCTACAGCCCTAATATAATTCTGTTTTCAGTTACACTGCATGGGAACTATACGTTATGAAATAATAGCTGTGAGCACCCTCATATCTATACTAAAGAACCAATAAACTAGGACATTTTTATAGGAAAGGAGGCAGTTTGCCTAGAACAGAGGACATGCAAGTGTGAGTCAGAAGTATTGATGACTATAATTTATTGACTCAGTCTAAGCCAACAAATTATATTATCCTTAGCACTTGTAAAACATTTCTTAGCTTTGCTTTGCTTCAGAGCATAAGAACTACCATGTGGGTTCAGACCAGAGGTCCATCTAGACCAGGAGCAAGCCTCCGACAGTGATAAGCAGCAGACACTTTAGAGAAAGAGTCTAAGAACAGGGCATGTGTTGAGTGACCCATCCCTTGTCAGACCAAGCAGGTCAACCCGAGTGGATGACATTCCTAATGGTCAAGCTTAAGAGCTCAGGAAGGCCCTATCCTCTGCAAATTTGTCTAATCCCTTTCTTTGACCAAGTTGTATTACTGGCCTCCATGGCATTTTGTGGAAATGCGTTCCTGGCATTAACCAAGTAATCCATTCAATGCTTTTGTAATAGGAAACAAGCTGGGAAACAAGTGAGGCAGGGAGGAGGTTAAGTGTATTGCCCAGACAAGTTAGTAGAAGAGCTGGGGTCACAATCAAGGCAACCGATCTCTGGTGCTATCACCAGGTCCCCAAACCACGCTGCATCCTCTTTCTGTGACTCAGTTTGCCCATGTGATCATGGGGCAATTTGGCTTACTTGCCTGCTAGGGGTGTTGTGAGGCTTCATTACTGTTTGCAAAGTGCAAAATGCTTCAGAGGTTTTTGGATGAAAGGCATGATATGTACCATATTTACTTCATTAGAAGACAGGATTTTTCCCCCCATTGAACATGGGGAAAAAGGCCCCTTGCCTGATGACTGAGCATGAGGCAGTGGAAGGGCACCCCCTCCACCGCCTCTGCACACCCTGCCGCTCCTCTCCAGCAGCTCCAGTCACCCCTTTCCTGTCTCCCCCCTCTACTGCACTCCTCCTTGCCCTATTGCTCCCCCCACTGTCTGCCCCCCTCATCACCTCTTCCCCTTCCAGCTGCAGTAGTCGGGGTGGAGGGTGGGGGGAGGAATTTAAGACGATCCTCCTGTAATTAGATTCCATACAAGGAAAATGATAATAAATACATATATTTTCCATGTGTAGAATCTTATTAATGGGGGGGACGCGTCATCTTGTATTTAGGGTCATTTTGAATTCATGGTAAGTGCTAAGCACAATTTATTTTATTGGTACTATAGAGTCATAGCAAGCCACCAAAGACAGTGTTAAAAAAAAAACAACAACCCAAAACAACCCCTCCTCCAAATACCCCCCCCACCAAAAACCCCCCCCAACAACAACAACAATTATGCACTACAGTACTTCCCTGGCTTGCAATAAAAGCTTGGTGGCTTGCAATAAAAGTCATTCTCTCTACTTCCATAACAATCCCTCTCCCTTGGTTACAGTCTCTGCCTCAACACTAGTGAATCACCCACCGCGTGAGAGGCCGCCAGGGAGCAGCGTGCGTAAGGGGGAGCAGTGGGCGGGAGGTCTCCTTGGCATGTGCCACTGCTTTGTCACACGCATGGCAACGCGATGCACCCGCTGCCAGCTTCAGAAAGGTCTCTCTCTCCCTGAGCTCCTGCAAAGTTCTGAGAGTCGACTTTAGTAGCAGTTTTGCCCAAAATAGTGATCTGTGATTCTCCAAGTGGAAGATGCTGTGGAAGCACAAAGGCCTTCAGGAACATTAGTGACATTAGGCTTGTAACCCTCGGACAGCGAGGCTAGAAGGGATCACCGTGACCATCTACCCTGATCACCAGGGATCCTAGTTTTCTCTGTTTAAAAATTGCAAAATCTCTGATAAACCCCTCCAAAATCCACGATTAAAATGAAATGCCACTATCTATATAGGTATCAGTTGAACACAATGTTTTCATAGATAGATAGATAGATATTAGGGTCGGAAAGGACCTCATTCGGTCATCGAGTCCGACCCCCTGCCCTGCGCAGGAAAGAGCGCTGGGGTCAGACGACATATCTTATCGACATATTTATGATTTTAAAGCAATTTGGAAACCTACCAGTGCCTCAGTCACTATAATAAAATAAACTCTAAAGACCTATACATTTTGGTGTTTGATTTGGGGTTTTTTATCATGCAACATCAAAGCTCTGCCTGCCCCCCTTCACCCACCCAGACACAGGTCCAGGCCCCTCACTCCCCACCCACAGCCCCTCACTCCCCCAGCTCTGCTGGAGAAGGCCCCCAGCTGCCAGGACTACAGGACCACAGGACCAGGGACCCGGGTCCGCAGCCCCCTGCAGCAGTGCCTGAGATCTGGCTGGTGCCCACAGGAGGCACCAGCTGCTGCGGTGGAGCAGAGCACACAGCCCCGCTCTCCCACCCCAGGGGCAGATCCCCTCCAGGAGTGCACACAGTAGCAGGGAGTCACCCACAACCCCATCCTGTTCCCTACCCGGGCCCTGCAGCCATGCATGGCCCCAAGCCTTACACACCGCCCCAGCTGGGCAGTGCCCCAACCCCAGCCCTGCCCAGCTCCCAACAGGCCTCACTACGGGGGGCTCAAATTCCCCCTCCCCTTGACTTACCTGCAGGACCTGCTCTCCACACTTCCTGGTGGCCATGGGCACGTGTATGTGCACACATGCACATGGCGCTCCCTGCCTGACTGCCCTCCTCCTGCTAACCCCAGCCCTGGCAGACTGGAACTGTGCCAGCCTGCAAGAGGAAGCCCACCGTTTCCCACGTTTTTCTCCTTTAAAGGAGAAAAACCAGGTTTTACCACATTTTTCTATGGTAAAGCGCTGCTGTGTCTTGTGTATCAGCATCTCTGCACTTAAAAATTGTGGTGGAGGCACTTGACCTAAAGCTCGTTTGTCAAGCTGCTGGTGGCTGCTGGAGTGTGGCAACTGCTGTGCTCTAGCACACTTGATTAATCAAGTCTGCTCTGATGCCCTGTAATTACAGTGTATCAGGGCAGCCTCTGCACTCGTGTATAGGCAGCCTAAGGTTATAAACAAGCAAGACAGGCAAACACCATCACTAAGGCCTAAATAATTAAGGTGAAGCCAGAGTAGATTTGCACCTTACAGGCCAACCAAAGCTTTCATGACCCTCAGCTCACTTCATCAGCTGCTGTGGACAGTTTCCTTTCCCAGAATATTTAAACCACTGCTGGAGCAGTTTATATTCACCCACTGAGCTGAATATATGCTTTCACTAAGCTTATCCCTCTGCCATCCTTAATGTGCACTGTAGGTTAATGGTACATTGCTGCCCACTTCAGCAGAGCATAATTAATACAATTTTAGCTACAACTAAATGCTGGGGAAGACAGACTGATTTTACATCAAGTGGGGGGCAGGGAGGAAGGGCGACATGGGACTATAATGCATTTTAACAGGACAAAATTCTGTCATCCTACTAGGGCCCAAGAGGGCACAATTACATTTTCTAAGACTAGTCATGAAAATCCCTTGGTGGGGAGTGGGAGAAGAGCAGGCTTGCTAGCCTACAAACTTGTCTTTTTTAGTATTCCTAAATGTATTTTGGGGAGGGAAGTCTACTTTGGGAGCAGGGTTGGACCAAGCTGACTAAAACAAATGCCAGAGGCTGCTCAGAGGAATGTGAGTAGCAGTCCTGGACAGATGGATGAGTGAACAGTAGGTAGGCAAGGCCATTAAAGATGTAGGATAGGCATGTTCATTTCGCAGTTTATCACGTGGCTATCCCCATCATATAGCTAGTGTGTGCATATACATATAACATATATACTGTATACATAACTTTATGTATACACAGGCACCACAAAAGCAAAGCACCATCATTTTAAAGCTGAATTTCTAGGTCAACCTCAATGTCAGGTGTCCAACCAGAAAAAAATAAAATGCTTGAGCCTCACTTTTTTGGTAATTTAACCAAATGAGCAGGCACACTCTTATAAATGAAGCCAGAATTGGTGGAGTGCAACCAAGCAAAAGACCCATTGGCAAATCATCATTGCTTGAGAGGACTGGGATAGGGGGCAGCTACTTTTCTTTTTCAGCCTAACGGATCAATGAATACATGCTGTTCACCACTCTCTTGCCCCTGCAACAGATCTGAGTAATACCTGCAGCTCCCACATACAGCACTGAGCATTGGTCCAGTGAGATTAACAAGCAGTCTCTATTGCCTCTGATCAGGATGCCTTTTCATAGCCTGCTTTCAACATGTGATCTGAAATACCACACACACAAGGTGATCTGCTCCCCAGCCCTGGAGAACAGGTACACTGAGGTGTAGATCCCTAACAGGTCAGGAGACCTGTGTTCTTTGGTGGGGGACAAGGGGCATGGTCAGCTGAGAGTCACACGATCAGCTACCACCTATAAAAGCACTCGGCAACTTAAATAAGTCAGCAAAGACCATGGGAGAGAAGAGTAGTGACAGCTCTCCAGAGATCTCAGGCAGGGGCCTGGGGAGAGCAACTGCTGGGAACAGGCACCCTCATGGAGAAGAGATACAAAGCCCTGGGAAGATGGCGATAAGGCGGAGGAACCCCGGCAGGATTCTCACGCCAAGAGGAAGGACTGTGCAGATGTGGAAGCCCAATGTCATCTGAAAGACCCAACTCATCCCGAGGAACAGAGATGGATGGTCCAACATGTTATTTCCATAACAAGAACTAAGA